TGGGGGGCAGGGGTGAGGGCTGTGAGGGGGAGTGAGGTGTGAGGGATCTCGGGGCTTTCCTGCCACTCAGGCTGCATCTGGCCCCCTGGGCTCAGTGTTATCCTTTCCCTGGAAGCAGGGATTCAGCCTGGGCGCCCCTCTCATGAGCCTCAGTCAACACTCCCAGCCTCCTCATTTCCTACTGTCCCCAAAACACAAGTCTTTTTCATGCTTTCATTCATCCAAGGAAGACACGGAGGAGAGCACGGGGAGTCTGGGGTCCCACAAACCTGGTCTCTGCCCTAAGACTCCTGACCCTCTGTAGGAAGGTCTCTGCAAGCTGCTTGGACCCTGGTTCCTTCTAGTTGTCATCCCTAGACATCTGCAGCTTTCTCTTCCTCCACGGCTCCCTCTCCCTGGGAGATGAGCGTGAAGCTGCCATCCACCTAGAAGCTGGCACCTCATCATCTCAGGAGACCACCAGGAGACCTCCAGACCAGCAGGGCCCCTGTCTCCTGTCCTGGGAAGTCTCTTGGAGAAGGCTGTTGGAAGACAGAGGTGCCAAGTGGGCAGCTGCACTGGGCGGGAGAATGGAGGAGAATGGCAGAGAGAGGCAAAGACACCAAAGGAGAAAGCTGAGCTGCAGAAGGAGCCTTATCTTGTCTGCTCCAAGAAAGAGCTCCAGCGAGGGAAGAGAGGGAGGAGGGAATGGTGGTAGAGAAATAAGGAGGGAGGTAAGATTTACGTAGTACTTCCAATATGTTAGAAATCTGACCTAAACAGATGTTCATAGCAAAGCGACAAGGCTCCATCATCTACAGCAGGAGCCAGCAAGCTTCCTGTCAAGAGCCACATAGTAAAGATTTAAAGCTTTGCAAGTTCTGTTACAGTCACCCAACTCTCCCATTATTGGGAGAAAACAGCTGTTTTAGTCAGCTTTCTCACTGCTGTGACTAAAAGACCTGAAAAGAACAATTTTCGAGGAGGAAAAGCTTATTTGGGGGCTCACGATTTCAGAGGTCTCAGTCCATAGAATGCCGGCTCCATTCCTCAGGGCTCAAGATGAGGCAGAACATCACCACAGAAGAGTGTGGCAGAGGGAAGCAGCTCACATGATGATCAGAAGCAGAGAGAGACTCCACTCACCAGATACAAATATATACCCCAAATGTATGCCCCCCAATGTCCCACCTCCTCCAGCCTCACCCTACCCCTCTTCAGTTACCACTCAGTTAACCCTATCAGGGGATTAATTCACTGATTGGGTTAAGACTCTCACAACCCAATTATTTTACCTCTGAATGTTCTTGCATTGTTTCACACATGAGCTTTTAGGGGACACCTCACATCCAAACCATAACAACAGTCATTGATAACAATATAAATGAAGGAGATAGCATGCTGCATCCAAACCTTGTTTACAAAAAAAGCAGAAAAAGATAATGAAGTCACTAGCCCTTAGGGAAATGCATATCAAAACCACAACGAGGTACTCCTTCATGATCACTAGGATGGTGCAATGGTTAGACTGTATCCCCCAAAGTTCACTGTCAAGTCCCAAGTTCATAAGTGATGGTATTTGGGGGTGAGCCTGTGGAAAGTCATGGAGGTGGAAACTCATGATGGGATTGGTGGTTTTATAAGAAGAGACCTGAGCTAGCTCTTGCTCTATCTCACATGAGATACCTTCTGCCAGGCTATGACATAGCAAGAAGATGCCATGGACTTCCCAGCATCCAGAACTGGGAGAAATAAATCTCTCTTTTTTTTTAATATAAATTACCCAGCGCTAGCAACCTAATAGCAACATAATACAGACTAAGACTCATGGCTATGATTAAAAAGACGGTAAGCATTAAGGAGGATGGGGAGAAATCGGAATGCTCACACATTACCAGTGGGAATGTAAAATGGTGCACTGCTTTGTTAAATAGTCTGGCAGTTCCTCACATGGTTAACTGCATGAACCAGGAATTCTATTCCCACATGGAATAAAACCCAACAGAAATGAAAACATCTCCACATAAAAACTTGTACAGGGATGTGCATAATAGCACTAAGTGAAAAAAACCCCAAAACATATAAACTGAAAAACAGGTAAAAAAAATGTAGTATATCCAATCAACAAACTATTATTTAACCATAAGAAAAATGAAATAATAAACAAAACAGAAAATTTCTCAATGTAGAATGACATTAATCTCTAGATTAAATGGGCCCATTTTAGAGCCAGCCCAGTGAACAAAAAATGTGCATACCAATCACATCATTTTAAATTATAGTAAACTCAGAAACAGAAGGTCCTAAATATTTCTGAAAAGAAAGTAGGAAAACACAAGAAATGGGGAAAAGAATGGTATAAGATTTCTTCATAACAACACTTAAAAGGCAACTTGCCTTCAAAGTTATGAATCAAAGTAATGGAGAATTCTATACCCAACTAAACTATCTAGTATGATGCTAGAATATTTTCAGGCATTCTAAATTTTCATCATGAAGAACCACTGATAATATGCTCTACCTAACTGAGGAAGCAAAATAAGGAACAAAAAGAAATGAGATTCAGAAATCAAGGTTTATAGCAAACACAGAAATTAGTTTTTTAAAAATGAACTACTGTAACTGAGCCTTGGAAACATTATACCAAGTGAAGACCAAAAGAAGTCAGACACACAAGACTGCAAATCACATAAAACCGCTCATACGAAATGTCCACAATAGACAAATCTATATGGAGAAAGTTGGTTTGTGGCCTTCTAGGACTGGGAGGAGCAAGGAGAGGGAAAGGTGATAACTAAGAGGTACCAGGTTTTATTCGTAGGTAGATGAAAATTGATTTTGATGATGGGTACACACAACTCTGAATATACTAAAACCCAACAAACTGTATACTCTAAAGATATGAAGGGTATGTACGTTATGTGAGTGACATCCCAATAAAGCTGTTTTAAAAAAAAAGACAGTGGGCCAGAGTTTGCTGAACTAGAGAAGTCAGATGTCCTGGGCTGAAATCTGCACTGTTTCTTGTGACCTCGGGCCACAAAAAAGAACTTCTCTGTCGATACTTTCATCTGAAGAGTGGACGATACGAATTCTATCCAAGAGCGCTATTAATTAAACGATGTAACGTGCCCGCACACGAGTGCTCTCTAAATGCTGGTGACTGTTACGATCTTCACTTTAAGATGAAGAAACGGAGGCTAAGAGAAAGCACAATTTTTATCCCGAGTTGTGCAGAGTGACAATTGAAGTTCAAAGTTCCAACTTGCCACGTGGATTTCTTCCATTCCACCGTTCTACCTCACTGCCCTAACACCCTCTGGAATCCCATTCCCCCTGTGTCAAGTGGAGAGTTTGTCCTGAATGCCCCTTAAGAGCTCTTTCAGCTTTGAAATTTTACAAATCAGTGAAGGACCTGGTGTGGAAATGCTGGGCCTTTGGCCAGTTCCTGAGGACCGTGCATCCTTGCTCCAATGGCCCTCAGCATAGAGGATGGACTGACTGCCAGCCTCCCTTTATAGACTGGCGGGCCAGCACACAGGAGAGGAGAGGCAGGAGACTCCGCTTACAGGTAATAGAATAACAGCCAGGCTTGGGGAGCAGTGGGCCGGAAATAAAATAACTGACAACATGATACCGCCCTGGATTCCTCCAGCACTCTGGGAAGGCAAAGAATAAACACCAAATTTCAAATTACTTTTCCGAAAAGGTCAAGAGAAATTGAAAGCCACTGCACTCTCCTAACAACTGGTTTCTCTCTTGGAGAGCTGTCAGGGTTTAAAAATATTTTACAAAGCAATCATCTGTAGGCAATCAAGAGAGATGCCTCCCCAGGCCAAGAAGGGGGGCTGTTGAAATGTATCAGTGGTGTTGTGCTGGGCGGGGGACAGGCAAACATGGAGAGCTCAATTTTAGCCTAACTCTGAGAAAAGCAAGTTTTAAAAAAAATAAACAAGAAAAATAAATCCCAAGTATTCCCAAGTGGCCTAATTTGAGAAGAAATCCTCTCCCCTGTTGGTGTAAGGGGTGAATTGAAGGAGGGGATTTCTTTCTACTTTTGGACACCTGCCTCTTTTATCCCCCCACACCCTTCCCTACACCCTTCCACAGCCAACTAGCCACAAGACCCCTGTTTCAGTCATATTTTTTGCTGCTATGATTGTAAGACCCAACCAGAACTATTATAGAGGAGGAAAGATTGATTTAGGGACTCACAGTTTCAGAGGTCTCAATCCATAGACAGCAGGCTCCATTTCTCGGGGCTCAAGGTGAGGCAGGACACCATGGTGGAAGAGTGTGGCAGAGGGAACTAGCTCACATGATGATCAGTAAGCAGAGAAAAAGGTCTCCACTTGCCAGACCAAATATATATATATATACACCTAATAGCACGCCCTTAATGAACTACTTCCTCTAGCCACATTCTACCTGCCTCCAGTTAATTCCATCAGGGATTAATTCACTGATTAGGTTAAGGCTGTAACCCAATCATTTCTTCTCCAAATCTTCTTGCATTGTCTCACACAAGAGCTTCTGGGGAACACCATATCTAAACCATAACAACCTCTATTGGCTTCCACTGGGACTTACCAAATGGATTTTGAGATAGTTTGAAGAATGTCTTGCAATAGCCCAGGAAGGCTTGCTATGGGGTGGTTCCAGCAGCCCTGTAGTCTCTTCTGTTGAGCTTCAATGAGTCAGTCAGGAAAACGTTAAGCTGCAATGACAAACATTCCCAAATCTCAGTGAATTAACAGACATGTATTTCTCATTACATTACACATTCAGGACAGGGGCTCTGCACACAATAGTCCCTTGGGGTCAGAAGAGGTTAATGGAGACTCCATTTCAACCTGACCATGGTGGGTGTTAAGAAAGGGATCAAGGCAAATCACACACTGGCTTTTTTTCTTTTCTTTTCTTTCTTTTTTTTTTTTTTTTTTTTGTGTGTGTGTGTGTTGCTGGGGATGGAACCCAGGGCCTCGTGCATGCTAAGCAAACACTCTACCACTGAGCCACAGCCCAGCCCCACATACTGGCTTTTTCAAACTTCATTCAGAAACACTGCACAACTGTTGTGATGACTAGAAGGACCAGAGCAAGCTGAACCTCGCGGTTAGAGAGGCCAGGCAACTCTGCCATGTGATGAAGGAGCCGAGCCTAAAATGTGGAGCAAACTCGCTCCTGACCACCACAGAGCACCTCGAATAGGGACCAGGGCCACAGGCCCCAAACCCAGGAGCCAACCATTAAAGGGCAGTAGTGTGGGACTCAGAGAGCTGAGCAGTGTCCATTCATGTCCAGAGCGAGGGTGGGGAAAGCGGCCAGTGTGTGCCTGTAATGTGTAATGAGCAGAGCATGGCAGTGTTGCAAAAGGACAATGACAAAAAGAGACACAGGACACTCTCAAAAGAAGAAATACAAATGACCAACAAATATATGAAAAAATGTTCAACATCTCTAGCAATTAGAGAAATGAAAATCAAAACTACATTGAGATTTCACCTCACTCCAGTCGAAATGGCAACCATCAAGAATACAAACAACAGGAAGTGTTGGCAAGGATGTGGGGGAAAGGTACAATCGTACATTGTTGGTGGAACTTTAAATTAGTGCAACCACTCTAGAAAGCAGTACGGGGCTTCCATTAAAAAAAAAAAAAAAAAACTAGGAATAAAACCACCATATAACACAATTAATTCCTTGGTGTATATCTAAAAGATTAGCCTACTGCAGGGACACAGCCACATCAATGTTTATAGCAGCACAATTCACAATAACTAAGCTATGAAACCAACCTAGGTGCCCTTTAACAGATAAATGGATAAAGAAAATGTGGTGTATATACACAATGGAGTATTACTCAGCCATAAAGAAAAATGAAATTATGGCATTTGCTGTCGAATGGATGGAAGTGGAGACTGTCATGCTAAGTGAAATAAGCCAATCACCCCCAAATCAAAAGGCAAATGTTTTCCCTGATATAGGGAAGCTAATACAAAATAAGGGAGAAGAAAATGAGGAAGGAGCAAGAGGAATGTGGTGGGAGGATTCCATCAAAATAAAAGGAAATCTGTGGACTAGACTAGATGAAGGGGATTGAGTGGGAGGGAGAAGGGAAGACAGTGGAATGAAACGGACAGAACTTTCCTATGTGAATAACCACAGTGAGTCTCACCTCCATGTACAAGATGCGAACTAAAAAAAAAAAAAAAAAAACAAAAAAAACATGTAAACAGCAGAGAGATCAGCAGAGGGGAGGGAACAGGGAAGAAGGGGTGGGAGGAGGGAGGGAAACGGAAAGTGCTGGGGACTCAATTAGAGCAAATTATATCTCCTGCTTTTATAATTACATCACAATGATCCTAATGTTCTGTGTAACTAAAAAGAAACAATAAAAAAGGAAAACTTTTGAAAAAACAAAAAAGAAGAAAAGAGACTTGGGGGCAGCGGGTGTTGCTCAGAGATAAAGGGAGAGCTTAGGGCACAGGAGGCCCTGGGTTGATCCCAAGAAGAAGAAGACGAGGAAGAGGAGGAAGGAGACGAGGGGGGAGGAGGGAGAAGGGGAGGGGGAGGGGAGCCCTAGGACTCAGGGAATCTTAAGGGTCATTTATCGCAAGTCCCTGAATCAGAAATGGGAAAAGAAAAAGTGAAATGAGGAAAAGACTGACTAATGGAGGGGCAGGGGCTGGGGCTCAGTGCAGAGCACTCACCTAGCACGTGCCAGGCCCTGGGCTCAACCTCAGCACCACATAAATATAAATAAATAAAATAAAGTCAGAGTCCAACTACAGCTAAAAGTGTGTGTGTGTGTGTGTGTATGTGTGCGTGTGTGTGTAAAGACTGATGGAAAAAGGGAAAAGCTTCCACATAGAAGGCTCCCCTGATGCTCCCTTTCTTGGTAGAAAGCAAAGAGCCCCATTCCCTCTTCTATTGCCCTTTGTGGCAGTCACCCCATGAAAGGACGCTGTTCCCAAAGACCCAGCCTCCCAAGGAGTCTGGATCATGCCCGACACAGAGCGTTTGGGACTGGGTGTCCCTCGTGTTCCCGCCTCCAAACCCAGCTTTGGTCGTGAGACGAGGCCACTCAGATCAGAGTGGATTCAGAGGCCACTCTAACTGCCTGGACAGAAGTCACCTGTCAGGAGGTGACCTGGCAGGAGGACAGGATGCTCAGCTGTACTCAGGACCTTCTGAGCGAGGAAGCATACCCGTGACTGACAGTTGCACTACGGCCCTCAGGAACCACCCCAGGCCAGGCCATGGGACTTGTTTTGGCCAGTGGAACATTAGTAAAGTAGGACATTCACAAAGAACTAAAAAGCTCTTGATCACTAGGACATGTCCTCTTGGAAGGTTCCCCCAAGGAAACCAGATGCCATGCTACAAAGACACGCAGGAAGGACTGCAGAATAATGAATGAGCAGACCCATGGGGACAGACCTTCAGGAAGGAGACTGTCTCATCCAGCTCCTAGCTCAGAATGGCCCCTCCAGACCTCAGCTACAGCACGTGGAATAGAAGTCCCCAGCAGAGCCCAGCCAACCCCACAACCAAGAAGAATAATAAGTCGCCATTGTTTTAAGACACTCTGTTTTAGGATCTGCTGTTATGTATCCCTAAGTCAGTGGCACAGTGACTTTCTTTTAGCCCAGGTGAGTGTATAGAACATGTGCTCGTGCACCTGGACGTGGCCTCCCGTGTGCCTCGGTCTTAACTGACATGGAGAGATTCCCCCCATTGCTGCTGTCTGTCCCAGGCTGCACTGGGAGCCCCACACAGAGGTGAATGAGAGGAGCCCCAGGAACCTGGGACAGCATTATCCATTGAGCAGCCAGACACATCCACAAATGACCGAATGACTTAAACACTGTCAGAGAGAGAGACATGAGGTGCTCAGGTCGGGCTTTTTGGCCAAGGTGACCTTTGATGAGGCTCCTGAAGCACCAGTCATTTGCCAGGCAGATGGGGCTGGGCAGGCCTTCTAGGCAGAAGGACCGAGTGCACCCTGGCAGATGCGTGGGTCAGCCTGGCCCACTGTCGGTCCACACCATTATGTTATGGCTGGAGCATCTGAACAGAGCAGAGGATGGAGAGAGGCTGAGGGGGATGTGGCAGGACCGAGATATTCAGAGTCTTGCAAACCAAGAGAGAGAAGAACACCATCCCTGCACTCAGCATGGGCACGGAGGGCTTGGAACCAGAGCAGGACAGGGTTTGGCTGAAGTGTCCCTGTGGCTCTGGCTGCTGAGTAGAGACTGGATTGAGGGGTGAAGTCAGGAGCCTGTATTCCACATGACTTCACTGAACCCCACGTGCCAGGCACTGTTCTGGGTGCTGGGCACACTTCATGAGAGTGAGGACGGAGAGAAAGGGATGACCCGGCGATGTCAGGGGGTGAGTTAGAGGTAGACGTCTGGGTGACTCCCGCTCCGTGATTGCCCCACTGAGGGATAAATGGAGGTGTCATTTGCTAAAATGGAGCCAGCAGGGCAGGAGGCTAGGAGCAGTGGTGACTCCAGCCAGGCACCTGTTAAGTTTGAGCTGCCTGGGAGGCAGCGGAGACCTCTTCCAGGAAGGATCTTCATCTGTCATGAGATGGTAAGCCTGGCAGCTGGGGTGGTCCCTGCCTTCGTCTCTTCCTGGTCTGTATTCTTCACCCAGAGAGCTTGTGGTGGGGTTTGAGAATCGAGCCCCAGCGGGGCTGCAGAGGAGCACACTGGTGGGCTGGGACACCTGTGGGAGCTGTCAGTCACGGTGCAGTTACTTACGGATACATAACAGCGGATCCTAAAGCAGAGTTGCTTAAAACAATGGCAATTTATTATTATTCTTCTTGGTTGTGGGGTTGGCTGGGCTCTGCTGGGGAGTTCTGTTCACTCAGAGGTGACAGGATGGGAGAGGGGAAACCAGCATGGCTGAGGAATCTGGAGGGAGGTGGGGACTTGGTCAGTCTGCGGACCTGCAAGGGCCTGGAGCAAGGGAACAGGCTCACCTTCTAGCCTCAATTTCTCATCTATAAAATGAGATTGTAGAATTGTTGAGGATGAAACCAGATGATTCAGGTCAAATTCTTAGCAAAAGGCCAGGTCCGTTATAAACCATCGCTAAGTGACCGATTTGTTATTTATTAGTTTGCTAGACCCCCAGAGCCGGGGCCCAAGCACAGTAGTTTTAGGGTGCCTACTCATCTCCAGGCCAGGAGGAATTTTATAGGGCTGGGTGGAAGCGAGCAGGAAGGGTTCAGAGCAGAGGGGAAGGGGGAGAAAAGAGGCCCCCAGGGATAGACAGTGGCCTCCAGGGCCATATCTCAGTCGGTTCCCAGTCCTGACGCCTGGTCAGGGGTTGGGGCTGGGTGCTGTCACCCCCATACATACCCCAGTGCCTGGGGATGCCTTCTCCCCTCCTGGGAGTCTGAGTAGACATAGTGAGGGACGCAGGGCCTAGGGACTCTGACACTACCAGTGTGGCTGGAGAGCTCCAGCACCAAGGGAAGCACGTGGGAGGGGCCAGTCTCTGCCCCCTGAGAGTAAGGGACAGTGTGGGCACACTAGGACTTATGCCCTGCTCCCCAGCACACCACAATCAGTCCCCTGGGCCCGGCCTTGCAGGCCACACTCTTAGGGTAAAGGACTCATCTGTGCA